AGGGGGCGGGAAGGTGGCGGGCCGCAGTGGTGCAGACGCTCCGGTGATGCTGGCCTGGAAAAGGCTCCGAAGAGGGCGGATTTATCCTGCGGTGGGAGGAAAGTGGGGGCGCCCCTGAAGTTCTCCGTGGGGGGGGGACTAGTCAGGTTCACGTTTTAGAAGGGTCTTTCTTGCCGTGCTGGGGACACCAGGGCAGGGGCAACAAAGGTGACGGCATGGAGACGCGGGGGGCCAGGCGGGGATGTCTGAGACGTGATGGCGGCTCAGACCCAGGTGGTGGCGGAGGAGCCCAAAGTGGGCGGACAGGAGAGGCACTGAGGACCCGGAAACAGCAGCTATGGGGATGGGCTGGAGCTGGTCAGAGGGAGCGAGGGGTCCAGGGACTCCCAGGTTGGACGGCTCAGCTGGGAGGTGCCACTGCTGCCCCTCATCAGGTCACTTCTCCCTGGGCCTTCCTGTCTGTAAAACAAGAAGCCGAGTTCTCCAGGGTCCTCTTCACGTTACTTCCTAATCCCAAAGCCCCAGAGCTGTGAGGGCAGGGCCCGGGAAGCTGGACGAGTCACAAAGAACTTCGGGAACAGACTGGATATGAGCAGCGCCGTGGAAAGAAGGACTCGTATGGACGGATGGGACAAAGGAGGGGAGAAGAGGCGGGGCCCCAGCGCACGCCAAGGCAGGGCGATGGCAGGCTTCGGGACCAGCGACGGAAGCCATCCATCACTTGGGACATGGAGGGTCTGTGCTGAGGACTGGGTACAAGTCGCTTTTTGTGCATGAGATGTCATCAGAGTTGTTCAAAAACTATACTTGACACGTCAGCGTTTGGAATGAACTTATTTACAAAACAGAAACGGACTCACACGGTAACACACGGTTACTGGGGGAAAAGAGGGTGAGGAGGAATAAAATGGGAGTTTGGGAGTCGCGGATACACACTACTATATGTAAATTAGATAAACAACAAGGTCCTACTGTAGAGCACAGGGAAGTACATTCAATAGTTTACAAAAACCTATAATGAAAAAGAAGAGGAGAAGGAATATATATATGTATGTATAACTGAATCATTATGTTGTACACGGGAAACTAACACAAAATTGTAAATCAACCAAACTTCAATTTAAAAAACAAAAAAGGAAATGGGGGAAAATTAAAAAAAAAAAAAAGACAAGCTTACCTGCAATCACAGCATGAATTACGGTCCCGCCTTGTCTGTGAAACTGGTCTTCACTGGGTCTCCGCTTCTGCTCCGTGAAGTAGGGGTTCCTGTTCTTCCTGCTTCCCGGGGCTCCTGTGGGGGTCAGTCAGGCGGTGCCCTGTAACCCAGGCTCTGAGAAACATCACCCCGTATCTAAACACAAGGTGCTGTTGTGTTTAGTTTCGATGAAAAATCTGAAAGTGGCCTTCTCCAGCCTGCTGGCAACGAGCCATTTGCTCACAGACCTCTGCTGGCTGCTCGCGTTTGGAAACGTTACCAACCCCGGGAATATTCACACCGTCACCCGGCACAAGCAGTAAAACCGGGGACGATAAAGTTGAAACCTGCTCTGGTTTATGAAACAGTGCGGCTCTAAGTAAAACCCAGTGGAGAGTCGCATGGTTAAAAAGAAAAGAGAGAGACAAGGAGACAGTAAAACCTCCCGTCTCAAATATTTGCAATCAATAAATACATTATGAAAATAACACATCAGCCACGCAAGGGCTGCTCATCTGCCGGGAGAGGACTCCTGACAGCTGGAGAGCAGCGCGGGAGACGGCGTGCCTGCCTCGTGCCACCTCAGTGTGAGTGATGGACGCCTGGCCCCCGGCGCCCCCGGCCCCCAGCGACCATGCGTTCCCCTTGCATAGATGGAAGACAGACTGCTGGTGGGGAGAACCCCTTGAAGGGGCGCACGCATTCGAACTCTCTCGCCAGCAAGCTAAGGGAAGTTTTCAGGGCCCCAGTCTCTCCGTCTGCAAAATGGGTTGAACTGGATCAGGACTGAGTTTTTTTCCCTTTGTGTTAATTAATTTCCATGTTGTCAAAAGCAAACTGGTAAAACCCCTGTAAGAAACACAGAAAAGGAAACCAGAATTGCTGTCACCAGCATGAAAATGAAGCAGAGCTGTGACCACCTGCTCCCCCTGCCTCTCCCCTAAAACCCCAGGGCTCCAAATAAAACAGTTCCAAAACCACTGTTCGGGTGACCCTTTAAAGTGTGACTTTCTGTGATTTTACGATTCTTTTGACTCTGATTCTTCCAGCCTTCTCTGGTCCTCTGTGACATCTGGCCTTACTTCCTGAGGCTGTGTGCCACACAAGCTCTGTCTCACCTGCAGAACACCCCCTGACACGGGGTTACACATGTGGATGTGCTGGCACGGGGCCTGGGGTCCGGCAGCGGCTTGAGAAGAGCCCCCTCCCTTTCTGGGCCCCTGGCCTTGCCAGGGGTGCCAACTTCCAACTCAGCCAGCTGGGCTCCACCCACCGAGAGTCCAGATCAGCTACTTTCTGTGGAGGCCCTCATAGCTGTGGCTCGTGTGTGTGTGTGTGTGTGTGTGTGTGTGTGTGTGTTGGGGGGGCACCTGTCCCCACCGCCTCTGTGCTGGGGCCATGCCCCTAGTCCCTGTAGAGTTGTTTGCACACCCTGGCTTCTCCCACTAGGGCCCAATGGGGCGTGTGTGAGCAGTGTTTTCAAAAAAACCTAGATGATTTTTTTCAAACAAAACTGTTTTTTTACTGCTGCTCCCAGTCCACTTAGCACCAGCTGTGATGAGAAGCACTTGTATGGTAAAGTGCTGCTGATGGAACTGCTCCCGCCGGAGCTCAGCTCTGCACTCCCGCGACGCGCTGTTGCTCCCGTGGCCTGCCGGCCCTGGCCCTGGCCCTGGCCCTTCCGGGCTCCTTCCCGGCCTCTCCCCGCGTCCCCCTCCTCCCTGCTCCTCCCACCTGCCCATTCTCCTCTCCCCTCCTACTCTTTCTTTCTACTCTCTCTCACCCCACCTTTCCTTAAGCATCCTCTGACTGCCTCCCCTCTGTTCCCCTTCCCTACCTCTGTATCTCTCCCGTTTCCGGCCACCAGCCCCCCCACCCCGTGTCCCCGGCAGCTCAGTGAGACCTGCTGGGAGGGCTCAGGCTTCTCCGCAGCCCAGGCCTAAGCAGTAGGCCCCGCTCTGGGCAGCTGCCTGTGCTGTGAGGACCCCACCCCCACCCCCAGAAAGGCCTCTGGGATGGGCGAGCAAAGGAGGGCGACGGGAAAAGGGGACGGTCTGAGGAGGTGCATAGGGGACTGGTTACGCACATGGAAGGCTTAAAAGCTCAGTGAAGAAGTTTGCCTTTGACCTGAAGTCCGGTCCCGTCCTGAGAGTGTTCACAGCTGCCACAACACAGTCTTGCCTTTCTTTATACTGCAGCGCACGCCTGTGAGAGCTTCAGGTCCAGTTCTGTCAGGGCTCCGGCTCCATCGTTTCTGGCCCCTTTCTCCGACAGACAGCTTTCCTGTGTGTCTACGTGTCTGCTCGGGTCTCATGGATGCAGCAGGCCAGCCAGCAGCAGAGAGGACCAAGGACCTTCTTGTTCCCTTCCTGCGGGAGACAGAAGCGAGCGCAGCTTCCCACAGTGCTCTCCTGCGGGCGGGAAGGGCCTTCCTGAGGAACCCTCAGCGCACATCTTTGTCCAGAGTCGGAGCACGTGCGCTTTCCTGAGCCAGCCACTGGCGAGGATGAAAGAAAGCCCCTTGCGCCAAGCAGGCGCCCCTCTGGGCGGAGGGCCAGCCTCCCAGGCTCAGCCTGCTGCCCGAGGAGGCGGAGTGGGTGAGTGCTGAAGAGTCACCCACAACACCCTCTGCGCTTACGGTCCCCCCAGTGGGACACGGGGACAGGGCAGAGGGTCCAGGAAGACCTGGGCCGGCAAGGGCTGTCTTCCCAGAGCAGCAACATACACTACATTAAAATTAGCACAGAAACATCATGGAGCAGAATGCACAGTGCACACGCAGCTTTACATTAAAGCACGATGGGGCGGGGGAAGGCCGAGCTCAGTGGCAGAGCTCATGCTTAGCATGCATGGGCTCCTGGGTTCAACCCCCAGTGCCTCTGGTTACAGAAATAATAACAAAAAATGAAAACAAATAAACCTAATTACCTCCCTGCTCCACCAAAAAACAAAAAGCTAAAATTACAGCATGAGACTTTGAAGGAATTGTCTGCTTCATTAAGCTGCGTGAGGGTCAGCTCACACTTGTTTTGATTATTACTGGATGTCTAACATGTGGAAAATGCACACAAAAACCTTGCTGAATGAGTGAACGAATGAACAAATGATGGAGACAGGCAATTTCAGGCTCCCTCCAGACCTGGGGGGACCGTCCCCTCTCCTTTGCTATTGGGGTGCTTTGGCAGAAAAGTTTGGGAGACGCTGCAGTAAACAGAGGGGTGCGTAGGCAGCTGTCTTCCTCTGTTTAACAGCAGTCTTGTTGAGATACAGTGCATAGGCTATAAAGCCCGCCCCTTTAAAGGGTACAGTTCAGTGGTTTTTAGTGCATTCACAGCATTGTGAGACCATCGCCCACTACCTGGGAGTTCTGGAGCCAGGTGGGGGCGATTCACACCCACAAAGAGTGAGGGCTCAGGGCTGTGAGTGGCTGGAGGCAGAAGGGGCCTGGATGGAGGAAAGTGTGTCCGGTGGAAGCAGAGAGAAACGCCAGAAAGTGCTTGCAACATTAAAGGGAGTAGGATGGAGGCTGGGTCTCAGGGTGGTGACAGCAAGATGGGAGAAGGGAGGGCTCCCGGAGGAGAGGGTGCAAAGATGGCAAATACCGGCTCGGGGGCTGCCCACGGTGGGAGGAGACATGCAGGACAAAGGTGCCCCTCGTTTCCAAGCCAGCAGATTTCGGCGGCTCTATGCAGGTGCACAGCGAGCCGGGCTGCAGCCGAGAGCAGCGGTGTCTGTCCAGCTCGCCCGCCTCCCGGGGCGGAGACGCGGGTCCCCAGGCGCAGGCCACAGGGAGACGCAGAGCTGGCATGACCTACCCTAACCGCCCAGAGAACAGCACCCCAGGTACCGTCCTCCCTGCCGCAGGCTCCTGAGCACGGCTACTCAGAAGAAGCATCTGATGGATGGAGCTGATTCAGTCAGAAGACAAAAATGAATGTGTTCCACCCACGGGGGTTCCCCTCAGGAGTTCTGGAACTTTCCGCAGTGGTGCCCAGGGGATGGGGGGCAGATATCCAGCCCCATCTAGTAGGGCGTTCTGGGAGTCCAGGGAGTGGCTTTCCGGAGGTGCTCAGCAAAGCGAGCCTTGGCAAGACCAGGCGAAGCAGTGTCCTGAGTACAGGGCAGCAGGGTGGCCTGAGCACCTGGGCGGAAGCAAAGCCCCGAGCCCAGGACCCGTCTCATCCTCTCGTGAGCTGCCTGGGGGTTAGAGTCCTCAGCTCGAAAGTGGAAAGATAAGACTAGTTCAGAATTGCCCCCAAAATTTTTCCTTTGAATGCTGGGCCCTCTGGGTGTCCCTAGAATAAACGTTAAGGACACGCTAAATACTGTTACCCTCCTGGAGGCAGAAAGGCTTGGAGTCTCGTGGTGAAGGAAGTCGTTGCCTTTGCTCGATTTAGAATTTTCCCAAATATTTGATGGATGAGGCCAGAGTGGGGAGCTTAGAACATCACTTTCTAATGCCATCTAGAAACAGCACCCTCCTCCCAGGTGAACCCCCCTTCTCGGGTTCACCGTGTCTTTGTTTCCCAGTTTCCCCATTAAAGCACAAGTACTTTCAGGTGGAGTAAGATTAAGCCATTATGAGTTGACACTTTGGCGGGACTGAACTAAGAGCTTGCTGAGCACATGCTAGGCCTGGGGTGAAGGGCAGGAGAAGGTGTCAGGGGATGGAGATGGGGGAGACAGTGAAGACCCATCTGTGTCATTTAGCAACTCAGAGCGTCTCTAAGGAGGGGAGAGTCCCACTGAGTCATGTGAATCGTGTGTGGCTGCAGAAAGCTGGCATTGTTCAGATGAGGATAACCCCCAGCACAGCCCAGAGAAGGGGGTGGCCTGCCCCCGACCCCACGGAGAATCAGCAGCAGGCAGGGCGGGCCCCAGGGCCGGCGCTCTCCAGGCAGTGCCAAGTGGACTGAAGTCCGTGCTGCCCTCCCCGAGTCCATGATGCCTGACTCCCCGGCCCCTTGTCCGTCTGTTCCCAGGAAGGGTTTCTGCTGACAGAAAATGGAGGGGAAAGGGCAGGGGAATATTCCCCAGTGGCTGATCTGACAGCTACAAATTTCACTTTGTGCTATGTGCTGACCTCCAGTTGTTTCCCACGCAGCCTGGGACTGAGAGGCCAGTAAATCCCAGCGGTGGTTAACACCTGCTCTGGCACCCCCAGCCTTAGTTAGAACACAGTCATGGCTCTCCGCAAATTTCAGCAGATTGTTCATCTTCTGCAGGGCCCAATGAACTATAACTCAGCCAAGGACCCACTGGGGCCTGAGAAATTCATGGTGACCTGGAGGGCCAAAGCTGGGAGGAAACTCAGAGTTGCCGGCCCAACCTCCCCTCATCCAGGTGGGAGGACCCAGGACCAGAGGGGCCGACAGTGGCCACGAAGGAACTCCAGCCCCCCCCCCGTGGCTCTTGCCACTAGACCAAGCTGCCTCCATCAGTTTATTAATAGAACGAGGGAACTGGGGTCATTTGGTTAACCTGTCCCCAGAGACCTTCTTAAAGGAACGCTTGGATGTGGGTGAGGGAACAACAGGTTTGTGATCACAGAAGCGACCCCCCCCGCCCCTTAACAGTCGGTGGTCTTGGCCATGGAATGCTCCCTCCCTGCTGAGCCTCAGTTTTCTCAGCTATGCAATGGGAATGACAACTGTCCCTGCCCACAAGAATTATCCTGAGGAGTCAATGAGCTGGCAAATGGAAGTCTTCACCCAGCACCTGCACAAAATCACTGAGAACCTCCCTGAAGCTGAGTGAGGCTCGGGACTAGTCAGCTGAGAACAGTTCTGCTCAGTTGAGACTGAGTCAGGAGTAGGGTGACCTGCAGGTGAATTGGGATCAACGGCCCACAAGGGCCCTGCCCTGGGCAGTGTCAGATGTGTGTTGATTCCCCCACTGGATTAGGGGGCCTGGTGCAAGGATGGAATTATAAACTCCCGAAGGTCCCCCCATGGGGTATGGAGCTCCAGGAAGGTACCCGTAGACACTGGCTGAATGCATGTGCACACACAGTGTCTGGTTAGCATGGTGAAGACAATACATGGTGCACAGGGTGCTGACAAAAGAACGAATAGTTGGGAGGGGAATCGCCCAGTGCGTCCACACGTGCGCACGCACACACACGCGCACACAGAGCTGGCCAAGAAGCCAAGCTCAGCACTGACCTCACAGACTTCATCCCGTGGCCAATGAAACAGCACCAGACTCTCTGACCCTCCTCCATGCATGCAGTTTCAGGGCTGGAATCCACTGAGGGGCCAGATCTTTCTCCTAACCCTGCCCTGCCTCTTCAGCAGAAAGAACTCCCACATAGGGTCTGTAGAACGCAGTTTGATCTCAGCATGACCCGAACTAGCTGTGTGACTCTGAGAAACTCACTTTGCCTCTCTGAGCTTCCATGTAACCACCTGTGAAAGGGAGAGATGGAGCTCCCCGGGCCTGTCTCTGAGGCAAACCACAGCCCACGGGAGATGTGAAAGGCAGATCATCAAATCTAATGCCTTTCGAATATTTACTTTAGCAGAAGAATCTTTAAATTCTTTTCTAAACTCAACACCCCACCTTCTGAGACAGAGCTGCTCGGGCTGAGATGGTGATGGGGGCTGGCCTTGGTGAAACACTATTTGAAAAACACCTGCCTCGTGTTAAAGGTGAGGAAACTGAGGCTCAGAGAAGGCTGCCCCATCAAGGTCACAAGCCCTCCACAGAAGCCCAAATCCCTGGGAGGCTCTTAGCTCCCTGGGCGGGAACAAGAAGGCAGATTAGAACCCGCACTTCTGTGGTGCGGCCCCGAGGGCCCCTTGGCCACCTGAGGCCCCTGAGAGCCTCCACGGTTACCAGGCAACCAGTGCTGTTGCCCAGCGCTCCCCATTAGCACCTCACAGCTGTCCCTGCAGCCAAGATTGGTTCAGAAGAGGCTGCCTGGCTGGCAGGTAGGAACAAAGGGATTAGGCCCCATTTGACAGACAGTGTCCCTGCCATTTGCATGTCATTAAGCTGCAGACCGCTTAGCAGAGGGGGACACATAGCTGCAGAGTCCCTGCCAAGCTGGGGCACAGAGGCGCCGGCTGCATTTGCATGTTGGACACCTGCCCTGAGCCACAGGAGTGAGTGAATTGGGAAAGAAAAAAAAAAGGTTTTCTTGAAAGAGAAGACTGGGGGGCTGGGGTGGTACCCCCCTCTCGATGGTGACCCCAGATCTTCCCTGTCTCCCTCCCAAACTGTGCTACAAGCTGGAAAAGACCTTTCCTGGGGGGAAAGGGCTTTCGTGCTTGGAGAGTGCAAACTTGGCACCTACAATGGCTTGGGAGAAGACAGGGACGTTCTAACACCCCGGGCTTACCTGGGACCCCCCACCCAGCATCCTCAC